GCTCGCTTCTCGTTGTCCTTCTGGAATTTCTTGGTGATCTTTGTGCGCTGCTCTTCCACCAGGAACTTCTGGTGCTCCAAAACCCACTCATCATCCAGCTCCTCGGGTCGAGCGAAGAAGTCAGCACCCTTTTTCTTCTTAGTCTTGGGCTCGACATCCAGCATCATCAGCTTCGTGCGCCACTGCTGGTAACGAAGACCCTTGATGCGATCGCCGAGCTTCTCCATCTGGGCTTCATGAGCAGCACCAACGGTGCGCTTGTGGTTGCAAAGAATGGCGACCTCACGGTTGCAGTCGTTGTAAAGCTTGACCTTCTCGGGGATCGTCAGGTTCTCGACCTTGAGCTTCTTCAAGAGAGTTGACATGGTGAAGGAGGCGTTGTAGGTACGGAACACCTTCGCCGTGAGACCGGGCATGTAGTTCTTCAGGTGGTTGTTGAGCTGAGTTGTCGTCAGGCGGTCGAAAATGTCGTCGCCGTCAGCCTTGGGGGCCTTCTTGAAGAGCTTGAGGTTCTTGAAGACTTGCTTCTCGACCGTGACCTCATCGTAGAATCGAATACTGTCCTTTCCGAGGAAATCGAAAATGACAGTATTGGGCTCCCGCAGGGTGATGTGCTCGTACTTGAGAGAGCAGCAACCGACGGTCTCGGCCTCATTTTCAGAGTCCTTCTCGTTACCTGCTCTGAGAGCAAACTTGTCGATCAGATAAACGGCCGTAGCCCTCTGACGGTCAGCCATTACCTCGCTCTTCAGGTCTCTGGTGTAGTCTCTGCGAATTCTGTCGATGTGCTTTTTCAGCTCACGAGCCTTCTCGAATTTTTTCATATCGCTCTGGCCCTTGATGGCGCTGGCAGCACCAAGCATGACGTACTTGTACGCGCCGTTGATGTTTTCCTGCCACATTGCCAGCCAGGTGGCCTTGTTGTCGTGGACGACTGCCTTCCACTTGTGGCCCTTGGGAGCTTCCGGGACCTTGGCATCCTTACCAATATTGATGGTGACCTGCTCGGGATACACTCTCCTCTTGAACTTTCCGGTCTTCGGGTGCTCTCCACGGCCACGGAAAAGACTGGGGGGTTCGACACGGAAGTTTCCAACCTTCTCCTTGCGTCCATCCCACTTGCAGTACATGAAAGGCTCTTCTAATTCGTCCTTCTCGGCCTTCGCAGCCTTCTTCTCCGCAGCAGTTCGGTTTTTCCGAGCCGCACTTTGTTGCTCAGAGTACTGAAACATCGCGTTGAAATCCATCTTGGAGAAGTCCTTGATGTCGACCTTGTTGCCCTGTTTGTCCGTTGCAGGTTTACCGGACTCCTTCAGAACCTGCTTGAAGTCTTCGAAAAAGTTCTTCTGGAAAACCGGGTTCTCGACGTTGTGCTTCGATGAGAGCATAGAACCGAAATACCAGGCAACCTCCTCGGCTTCGATGGGCAGGTTGACTGGCTTGCCGTCATAGTGCAGCTTGACGTTCTTGGGAAGTGCCTGATATTCGGGTGGGAAAAGAACGCCGTTGTGTTCAAGAGTCGTCCATTTCTGGCTGTCATCCTCTTTCTTTGGCGCATTCCACCACTCGTACTCCTCTCCCTCCTCGTCCTCGGGTGCCTCACTTTCCTGCTTGGCCTTTGCAGCAGCCTTGCCCTTCGCAGGTGCAGCAGCCTTGCCCTTGGCCGCCGGTTTAGCTGCGGCCTTCTTGCCCTTGGCCGCGATGGGCTCATCGGAATCGGACTCGGCCTTGATGCCATTGGTCTTCTTAGCAGCACCGTTTGATTGACGCTTCTTCGTGGCTGACTTTGCGAGAGGCTCATCGTCAGACTCATCCTTGATGGCCTTCTTCGGAGTTGCCTTCTTTGTCTTGGACTCGTTGGCACGAATGTTGCGAGCCTCTTTCGCGGCTGCCTTCTCGATATCGGCCTTCTTCTTCGCAAGCTTGGCACCTAGGGGCTGGTCGTCGTCGGATGAGTCTGGCAAGGCTGTCTCCTTGTAGGAAGGAGGCAGGTTCTTGCCTCTTCTTGCCGTGAGAGGTTCATCGTCGGAATCCGAGTCCACTGGCTTCTGCTTTGTCTTTTGTCGCTTGGCCTGAATCTGGTGTCAGCCTCGGACTCCGCCACCTGTTGCCTGCCATGTGTAACCTACCATGGGAACATCGTCGTCGCTTTCTTCCGATTCATCCTTGTAATTGATCTTGGGCAATGACGACCGTGACTTTCGCTTCGATCCGTTGGTGGAAGGGCCATCGACGTCCATCTCGTCGTCGACGGGACCATTTCGAATGGAGAGACCGGGCGGGGCAGCCCTAGCTTTGGATGCGGTGCGATCCATGTCTCTGTCAATGGCTTTTGAGATTTTGGCGGAGGAGACTGTGAACGATGAAGTTAGAAAAAAGGCTAAGGTTTCTCGAGTTGCCGAAGCCGAGTTGGGGGACGCGACGAGTCAGGCTGAGGCTGGCGCTGGGCAGGCGACGAGTGAAAAAAAAGTGACACGTCAAAGGACGGCAAGGCGCGAAGGGTGAGGCGTCCGAAAGCGCAAAAAGACGAGTCTAAATCACTTAGCGCACTTACCTTGTCCTTTGGACCTCGCAAGAGGCATGTCGTCGTCGGAGCTGCTCATAGTTAAAGCTCTCGGTTCGCGACGTTTATGGACGGTTAAGTAAGATCTGAATCGCAAAGTCCAAAACCGGGGCCTTGTGGAGCGGAAAAAGTTGTAGAAGCCGATCCGCGCGGGAGAATCGCGTAGATGTAGAGGCAAAAGACGGATGGAATGAATGGCCGCCACGAGCTAAATAAGACGCAGGGGATGGCCCACGTCTGTCAATTGAGGAAGGCGCGGGAGGTCGAGTTTTTCACGAGGGATCGAGGGAAAGAGAGAGACTTGGAGGGTGGGAATGGTTCTACGGCACCTTCCAGCGAGAGTTTTGGAAAACCCGGTAAAAGGAAGGATCTGGTTAGTTGCTTACGACTACCTAGTTAAGTAAGGTATGGGAAAAAGGGAAAGACCGACGATGTGGCTGGGAGATGGAACCCGGCTGGGACAGGACACCTCCACTTTCAGTCAATCCACCTCAGTCCAATGTGGCTGAGCGGCGCCAGAGTTTAACCGGCAACCGAACAACTGTGGAGTGGAGAGAGCCGGGTGCGAAGAATGCTCGGGACAGGAAAACTGCTCGAACTACCAATCTCGCATCCCCGACGCACCGCCAGCAACATCAATTGGTCTCGAAAGCGGTCGTGATCAATTGATCTCCACAACGGCAGAGCCTCGATCTCCTTAATTCCCAACATTCACAATGCTTTCCCGGGCGGCGAGACCAGCTCTGCGAGCTGCGGCTGCGGCTCCCTCGCGGTAAGTCGGAATCCACACTTTGTTGAGCTCGGAAAATCGGAGGAAGGGAAACGAAGGGGTTGTGGTTTTTTCGGTTTCGACGACGACCAACCATCGATCGAGGAGGACACGCGGCATCGAAAACGAAATTCTTGCGACCGATACCCCGATTGCGAAATAACAAAATGGAGAGAGAAAGTTTAATTGCTGATTGCGGTTTCGCTCATCTAGAGTCACGGCCAGCGCGCCCAGCACCGCTGCCACCTTCGCGACCCTGCGTGAGATCGAAGGCCGCCTCAAGTCCATCCGCAACATCGAGAAGATTACCAAGACCATGAAGATCGTCGCCTCCACCAAGCTCAACCGCGCTCAGAGGGCCATGACCGACTCCCGTGTCTACGGATCGACCTCGAACCAGGTCTTCGACTCTGCCGAGACCAAGCCCCTCGAGGGTGACGGCAAGAAGGAGCTCATCATCGTCTGCTCCTCCGACAAGGGTCTTTGCGGTGGTATTCACTCCGGTCTGTCCCGCTACATCCGCCGCGAGTTCCTCGAGAAGGGTGCCACTGCCGACCTCGTCATCCTTGGCGAGAAGTGCAAGTCCCAGCTCCAGCGCACCAACTCCAAGGACATCCAGCTCAGCTTCGCCGGCGTTGGCAAGGACGTCCCCACCTTCGCCGATGCCCAGGCCATCGCCGACCAGGTCGTCCAGCTCGAGGGCGACTACTCCTCCATCAAGATCCTCTACAACAAGTTCCTTAACGCCACGGCGTACGAGCCCACCGTTGTTGAGGCATTTTCCGAGGAGGCCATCCTCTCTTCCCGTATGCCTCCCGACCACTTAGTACCGTGATGTAATAGCAACCTGACCGTCCCGTAGCCAACTTCTCCGCCTTCGAGGTCGACGAGGAGCTCATCCCCAACCTCCGCGAGTACGCTCTTGCCAACTCCATCTACTGGGCTCTGGCTGAGGGTCACGCCTGCGAGATCTCTGCCCGTCGCAACGCCATGGACGTACGTCATATATCCAGCCCCTCATCGCATCCCTGCAGCTCACTGACACTACACACAGAACGCCTCCAAGAACGCCGGTGACATGATCAGCAAGTACCAGATTCTCTTCAACCGTACCCGTCAAGCCGTCATTACCGGAGAGCTGGTCGAGATTATCACTGGTGCCACTGCCTCCGCGGACATGTAAACTGTTGGAAGCGAAAAAAACATCAGATAGAGATGATTCCTACCTCTCTTCCCTTTGTATCAAGCTACCTAGGGCGGCTATTGCCCTCGTCAGTGTAACAAATCCTCGCGAATACATCCTGATCTAGAACATGGATGGGAATTCTTTCACCTGCTGTTTCAAAAACACTTCACGCCCCGTTTCACGATCGTGCTCATGATGCAGTTGATTGCTATGTACGACGGGGGAATAATTTACAAGGGCTAATTACTATTGTATGAACAACCCCGTCTCCCTCGATGCGGAGTAGGCCAAAGTGAAGAAACACGGGGTATGCATGATTTCCCTCTCAACGCCGGATAACCACGAACCCCAGGATGCATATTGTTATGCGCCCTTTTTGCAAAAAAAAAACAGAAAACAGAAAAGAGAAAAGCACCGTAGCCCGCCCGAGCAGTTCGCCTCTAGCACCTTGCTTGACACAGGCCAATGCGCCAGCTCCGCAATCAGAACTCCATATCGCTGCCGTCACTTTCGGCATAGCTGACATGCTTGGTTCGGCGATACTTATTCGCGCTTCCCTCTCTGTTGGACTCATCTCCATTGGCCTGGTGCAATGGTACGAAAGGGTGCTCCGCGTGATATGTCTTCTCGTGCTCGACGTAGTCCTTTTCCCACTGCGCCGACTTCTCCTCGTATACTTTGACAGCGTCTGCGTATTCTGCCTTCATTTCAGTGGCTTTATCCTCAAATGGCTTTCTCTCCTCAAAGGGAGTAGCCTTCCACATCTTGGAAGTCATGGTCCGCACTTCATTCGGAGCAGCCTTCTTCTTGTGGGATCGCTCGGCATCGCACTTTTGCCGCGCAATTTCGAATATGGCCTTGCTAAAGAGCACATAAGCGTTCGCCGCCGCTTTGCGGGGTTGCTCCGGCCGTTCGCCAATCTGAGACCTGATGTACTCCCAGGTGGCGAGCTCGTAGGCTTCTCTGTGGGCTTCTTCGGGATCCTTGGGCCTCTCCATCTCCTTTCGTTTGTTCGAGATGCTTTCCTTGGAAAGAACCAAGGGCGTTGGCACGTCAATTGGCCCAAGCATCGACTCCAGGGCCTCGGACGCGGCTCGCAGACCGGATAAATAGGCTCCGTGAACGGTGGCTGGATGTGTTCCTATTGTGTGCTCTCCAGCGAAGAACAAATTGCCTATGGGACGAGCCATGGCGTCGTAATCTCCCGGTTGCATATCCGGACCTGCTGAGGAATAGCTTCCTCTGGCAAACCTATCCGCTGACCACCTTGTGACAATGGCTTCGACGGGGTGAGGCACCTTGGCACCAAAGATGCTCCGCAGAACTCCCGTCGCCTCAGCAATGAGGTTGTCATTGCTATTGTATTGGGTGTCAAAGCCAGCCTCGCCCGCCATCAACGCCACAAGACAGGGGAGGCCCGTTGTCTGGGTTACATTGAACCACTGGAACATGCGTCCTCGCTGTGAGTTGTAGTCGCGCTGATTGACGCTGTGACGGTTCGTTGCATCTCGCAAAACGCCAAAGATGTGTCTCTGGGTATCCCAGAATGGTTCTTCGTAAACCAGGACCACTTTGTTTAACACGCCGTACCCAATGCGATTGATGGCTTCGCTCTTCCATTCTGGCAAAGGCGGTTCAAAGGTGACGTTGCCCTGCTTTAGGACACCCAAAGGTATGGTCGAGATAACGTAGTCAGCCTCCACGGTTTCTCCATCTTCGCAGTGAACAGTCGCACGACCGTTCTCCTCAAGGCTGTAGACAATCTTGTCAACGGGCGACTTAGTACGAACGTCCAGAGGCGTAGGACAATGCAGGAGGCCCCGGGGAACGCTCTGATATCCACCCACGATCATCGTATGATCGCCTTCAAACTCATTGCCAGCATCAATGTCCCAGCCGCCCAGACTGAGATGGTACATGTCCGTAGCATTGCTGTATTCGAGGTTGGCGACATGCCAATTAAGCAAGCGGTGGTCCTGTGATGTCAAATCAATGATGTTGCGATACTGAACAACAGCTTCGTCAAATATTGTGCCAAGCGTCGCGTCGGGCATGCGAGTAGCATTGCCGAGATCGATGTTGACTTCATTTGATAACCCGTTCTTGAGAGTCCACCCCATGGCCTTTGCCTTCTCGCCTGCTTTGAGGATTCCCGGTGTTCCAGGCTGGGTATGGACGCGCCCAGTCAGCTTATCAGAGGATACGGGCACCATGTTGACTCTCTCAGGCACATTCTGCTGAGACACGGGAGGGGCGTGTGGGAGAGCCGCAGCTTCTTCCTCAGCTTGAGCGATGGTCCTGTGTCCATCACTGTTGGCATCCCGCCCCTCATTGACCGCGTCCCGGTTGCCCTCGATGCGTTTTGAGGGTTGCGTTTTCCATTTGAACTCGCTCACGCGGTCTAGACAGTCATTGTACAGCTCCTCAACTAGAGTATCCCTCGTATGGTCTACGGGCTTGCCGTTCGAGTCGTAAATGGTTGTCGCTGATCGCAAGGCACGGTAAGGCAGGCTCAGTTGGCCGCGTACAAGAATGTTCATTGGATTGCCACGATGGAATCCTGTAATGATCATACCGCCCATCTCAGCAGTATGTCTCTTGTCAACGAAATCAGGAAGCGGAGTCTTCGGTTTGGACTTGAACTCCCTCGAATAGACTCTCCCACCAATACGGCCGCGACCTTCGAGGACGATGATTTCTGGAGGTGCTTCTCCCAGGGCACCAAATTGTTCCGAATACTGTTGGACGAGGCCATCCAGATGCCTTGCGCACCCTAAGCCTGACATGCCAGCCCCAATTACGACTATTCTCCTTCTCTTCGGGCGATATTCTGCGTCAGTCATTTGCTCATCGTCTTTTTTCGTCTCCGGGAACTCTACACATCCGAAGTTGATGTAGCCTCGTCGCAAAAGCCAGTCGTAACAGACGCTTGCCGCGTTAAACCATCGGGCGCTAGCGCATCCAACTGCCTCATTCCTCGTCACTGCAACCCGTGGGTTACTGTACCATAGTCGAAGAATGCCGTTTCTGATGTTGAGGTACGTTGTCACTTGAACGTGACTAATATGTTGCCGCAGCATCTGATATTCCTCCTCATGTAGAGCGTAAGGATTTAGCCGTGAGGATTCGGCTGCCTCGATGCACAAGGTCGCGTATTCATAGGCTGAGAGGTTTGATGGCACAGACGATCTTGGTTTGACATCGAACGACCGTCGCGGAATTTCCCGAACAGGAGGGGTTTCGATCTCTGTCGATGGTAGAGACTGTTCCGGAGGCCCGTCGAGGTCTACTGGGGTTGTTGCCTTACTAGAAACGGACGGTGGCGCCGACGATAGCTCCGACTGCCTATCCGAGAGATTCTCTGTGGGCGACTCGAACGACTCATGAGGGACGTCGGGTAGTTGTAATTGATGGGTATCTGACGTGGCATCATCTTCCATTGGTGTCCTGTCTGTACGTCAGCGACCCGACGGTTGACTCAGACCACGCACCGCTAAGCATGTCGGTCAAGAAGGAGAACAAAAATCCACCTACTCATGATTGGACTCGAACGTAGGCGAGGGCTCTGCCTCGTCTTGGCTCGTGTCATCGAGGTCCATGTCTTCCGTCCAAACTACGATTTCTGGGGCAATTTCTGACACGGCCTCTGAAGATAGACGGCTTGATGAAGACGAAGTTGAGTCTGAAAGGTTCTTTGCCGATATACGATCTAAGGGAGCATTGGCCCTTGAAGGCGGCAAGTCTGATATGTGTGAGTCCTGGCTCGAGAAAGCCATCAATGATCCCTTTCCAAATCCAGATTCCTGCTTAACACGAGGTCGCAAACTTGTTCTCATGTTTCGATCGTCGACTCGAGCTGGACTCGGGGATGAGGAGTTGATATGTATGAATGGAGGCGAGTCGTCAGCGATGAGAAATTGCTTGCTCGGCCTGTGGTCCCGTTCGGGGTTGATGTGACAGTTTAGTTCTAAGTCGACACCATGATACGGTCTCTCAGGTGCACCTGGATAGTCGTTCTAATTGAAAATTGTTAGCTGATTTGAGTTCTCATACCTGCCAGCAGCCGATATAAGAGGAGACAATATCTGAGGTACCGACCTTGACTGCGGAGACGCCACCACCCCGGCCGCACTGTCCCTGATGTTGAATTGATTCGTCCCGATACTGGGTATGTCGAGTCGTAGGACTCCCACGTGAGGTGCATGGGACTGATCTATTGTTCTAGACAACACTGTTGAAGGAGACAAGGCTTTATGCATGAGGGCGCACTCGTCAGATACATGAGTTGCAGCGTGAGAGAGTGTCGGTTCCCGCACCCGAGTACTGAGGTAAAGCGCCAGCGACTGGGAGGTTCGCCCCACAATGTTTCGATGGCAGCCACGTGACCGTCCTGACTCGGTCGCAGCTGCCCGCTCCTCACGAGCCACCCGCCCCTGTGAATGCACAAAGCGGGAGCCCGTCATTGCATGACATCAAGAGTAGGAGCGGTCTAAATTCATGGACTTCTTCAACATATCTTCACATGGAAATTTCTCATTAATTAATTTGCAATGCTACCTCCCACCTGTCAGGTGTTGCCATAAAGCGCCGTTGCCCGCTTCAGACTGTAACTCCCAAAGGCTGGGGGCTTCTGTGTAGCTGGTCCGCCTCACTGGCTCGGACTGGCAGGTTTGACGTTGTCTCTAGCAAACGATTCCTTCTCGATGGCCGCGTCCATCATTCGGTCTCCGCTAATGATCGATGTCGTGCAGATGACGATGTTCCTTCGTGCTGCGTTCACACTCAAGTTAGTTTGCGACTCAAATGGAGAGTGGGCTCGGCATGGCACATACCTTCTTCCTGCTTCGCAATGAACCGCAGAGCAGCGATCTCTGTAAAGGTGATGCCTCCAACGAACACCACAAATACCGTCTGCTTCTCGGTTCCTCCGGAGAGGAGCGCGCGAGCCTTGACGGCCTTTTCTTCGCCCTTTTGCAGTTCATAAAACGTCTGCCCGCGCACATGCTTCACGGCTTCATCGAACCCATGCCAGCCTTGTGCAGCAGATGGTCCTGTTGCGCCGCTTGCGCCGTTTCCTCGGGTGACTTGAAGCAGGTACTGCTTTTGCAGGACGCATTGGACGAGTCGAACCGAGAGCGGTGCGTACCCGCTGTACACATAAGCGATATCGTTCGGGTCGTCTTCTTTGACTTCGTCAACAATGAGTCGCAGGAGCTTCCGAAGATAAGCGTAGTTGGTCTTCGTTCCTGTGTTGCTGCCTGTCGCTCCAGTCATTGGAATCATCTCTGCCAATGGCGACGAGCGTGACAAGAACAATTGGAGCTTCTCCAAGTTGTTTAGGGTCAAAATATGCTGATACCCGTATCCTTCCAGAATCAGGCGCCGGAATTGGTCGAATTCCTTGGGCTTGATTCCCCCAGATATGCATGAATAGATGCAAAGCAGCCTCAAAACCTCCGGCAAGGGTGTGTCGCGTGCGATAAGCTCTTCTATGGCCTCGAACTGAGTGGATGGATCCGCTCCAGCAGCTAGATTCTGTTGGGCCTCCAACAGGCCTTTGAACTGGTCTGTTCTTGTGTACTTGATAATTTCCTCTGCTAAGCCCGTGTGAATCCTCAAGCTCTGTTGCTCGGCCTGGTAGCCAGGCAGTTTGCTGACGAAGTCTTTCAGCTCGGCAATAGACTTTTGACTGTTTCGTCCCTCGTAGTCCTTTTGCAGGTTTTGCAGTCGACGAGCAACCTTGTTCAACAGGCTTCCAACAATTGCGAAGTTGGTGTCCCGGAGCTGTTCGTAGAGCTTGTCGGAGGAATCCAGCTGGATTTTACGTTTCCTCGCTTGAGCGCTGGCCGTTGATGACTGCGATGGGGCGCCAACTACGGTAGTATCGACCTCGGCCTGGTTGTTTTGAATGCCGAACACTTCGTCAATGAGTCCCTCGTATGTCAGTTGGGTGAGGAGAGGAGTGACAAAGTCAACCTCGCGGTCGATGATGATAACGCTTTCGGTCAAGGTGCTCGGTGTGAGGCCGGCTCTCGTCGCTTCACTCGCGTCTTCGCCGGCGAGGATTTCTTGTCGCATGCGAGCGAGGAGCTCGGCTACTCGTTTCGCGTTGTCGCCTTTACCAATTATACGCGGGAACAAGCCATGATTCTGTTGGATTTCCATCAAAGCCTTGGCGAGGAGGAATGATGGGGTGACATCTTTCGACAGGTAGAGATCGCGGAACGAGTCGTCTAGTTCTAGTGAGAGAACGTCTTTCTCCAGCGGGAAGAAGTAGAGGGGAAGCTCCGAGATGTTGACATCTCCAAGGACGCCGGCTTCTTCGAGAAGCTTATCTGATACGAGCGTCCGTCGGGGCACCCAGAAAATGTGAAAGTCGTGGCCAGTCTGACTTTCACGTTGTAGACGTCGGATCTGCTCTGTCAGGATGTCAGTACAACTGCAGCGACTGCCAGCCGAGACATGAGTTTGGCAAGTGAAGGTCGGCCCTTGATCGGCTACGACGAGAGATGTCGTGCTTGATACAGTGACTTTCTGTGTATGGTATGGTAACGGAGCGTGGGATTCGCTAACCTGCTATCGTTTGCGCATGACGCGCGCATTCGCCGCGAGCTATGAAGATGACATTTCGCTGACTGGTGTCGGCGTTCTGGTTCTCAAGGAAAAAGAACTTGTCGACGCCGTATTCCTGAAGCGTTGCGACCTTCACAATAGTGCCGATGGGGCCGGCTAAGCTGCGCTCAAGGATGAGGTTCTTCTTTCCACGGACCTGGTTGCGTCGGCGGGTTAGCTCGGAGACGGCATGCAATCAAGCGCTCTGAGATGCCTTACTTACAGCCTCGAGCAGGTAAAGGAGGTCCTTTCTAGCTTTGTCCTTTATCTGATCCGTATTGAAGCTAGCTCGAGGGGCCATTTTGAGCTCTCCATGCGTTTGGGAGCTGGTTGTTGGTGGCAGCTGCAGACTGACCGCTGCTCGCTGAGTGAAGTGTTGACGGGGAAGAAGCTAGGCGGGTAGCGAGCTCTGGAGCTGTACTGGCACGAGATTAGATAGACAGGTCGGACGTGGGCTGAGCAGCACGGGGCATCCACGTAACTCATCGTGTTGCGTCAGCGGGGCTTCAGGAGGCAACTGCGGCGCATGATTTCCCATGTTGCGCTATCGGGTCTCAAGACGCACCCGTTCAGTGCCTTATCGAAATGTTCTAGCGGGGCAGCCACAGCGAGGTAAAGGCCTGAGGTACCTTTGCGGCCCGCCCTTGGGGTCGAGTGCCTCGTCTCAAGTGGAAACGCAAAAACAACGGCGATCACAGATCCCCAGTTGCATTTTGAACAAGGCGCAGCAAGCAGAGGAGACCTGCTTGTATCCTGTATGGCTTCTCCTGTTGCTTCTTTATTCTCTACGGGGAAAACCCCGCTATCTCAAGTGTAAATCACAGTAGAGGCCCATTTCCGCTTGAATGGCTAGCCTCCTGCTGTCCATACCGCGACATATCATCGCGGGCGCCATGTGCTACTCCCTCTCTGCCTTTGCGAGTAATATTTCCGGGCGCTCTCTTTCGCCCTCTCCCGCTCTGATGGCACTCCATGAAGATTGGAGAAGGCCAAACACCACGCTGGTATATTTCTTCTGCTTCGCGCAGACGACCGACCCAGTACAGTCAATCAGCCGTCCCAGATATCCCAAGCCAAATCCAAACGCCGTAAGACTCCACTACACAAGACGCCATCGTTCATCAAACGGTGTTGTCATGGTAGTAGAAGTCAATGTCTCTTGGTCGGAGGCGGTTGCTCCGCACGAACTCGTCATCACCAGCAGGTCGCTCATTCTTCTCGTTTCCGGTCAACATACTTTGTATGCTCATGCAGACACTCTCTACATTTTGTACGGGACTCCAGCCCTGGTTTCCGAGAAGGTCCAGGCAGATAATGCCATTGGAATATATGTGGGGATGCATTGGGATCGGTCGCTCGGTTGTTTTCACGAACGTGACCTCCGGAGGTTCTGAGGAGTTGGTCAGCCAGGCCACCTTGAAACAAGGCAAGGGCGCACGAAGGGCGCATACCAATAGGATACTGTTGGGAGAATTTAAACTTGAGTCTGTAGACCTCGTTGCGATACAGCGGATTGTCGTCGAGGACCCTAATATCCATATGCCACTCCTCGAAGTTGTCGGCGGATATGAGGTCGATGCCAGGCGGTAGACCGGTATTGAGCTGTAATAAATGTCAACCGAGTTCATTCGCACGGCGCAAGCAGCTGAAAAGAAGCCCAAGGTTCGATGGTGGTGCTTCAATAGGAAACCAACCTTGGAAAGCTCTTTAGCCAGTCGCTTGGATGCAAAGCTTGAGGCCATTTTGAAGCGCAAAGCCGACGTAACCAGGGCAGACCAGAATGTCGCGAAGGAAGGAAGGCGAATCAAAGCAGTGTCCGAGAGAGAAAAGGTGACGGCGCCAGGCGACGGAAGAGTGGCAGTCGACAGCGCGACGGACACGGGTTGGATGCTGGCCGCTGGAGGGGCTTGTTGGAGGGGCTGCCCAGTTGGACCCCACGATTTCGGTGTTTCCCGCCGAGAACAGCAAAAAAGAGAGACGACCCAGG